CTGTTTGCACTGCCGCCGCCGCCACTGCCACTGCCATAAACAATCGACTCAGAGCATCGACTGATGGCGAGCAGTGTAGTGCTTGGTGCGCTGCTATGTATTTTCAAGTAACTTGTTGCTAGACTACTTTGCGCGCAAAGACTGGTTACGGGCCGCGTTCGTGCCATTGGTGCTCACGGCGCGCGCTAAGAAGGTTCCTTAGCTTCCTAATCTATTTTTAAACAATTCCCAACAATGCTCGTCGTGCGTGCAGAAGGAGTAAATAAAGCAAATCATGACAAAAACAATGCAAAAAAAAAATGTAGACGAAGAAGGCAGCCAACAGACATACGCCGCTGCGTCACCGCTACACTTACTTATGGCACGCAACGAATGCGCGCGTGCATAGTAGATACACCCAATAAGAGCGTTGTTGCATGCCGCACAGGCGCAGTTTACTACTCGATTTGAGTGGTTGACTTGTTGGTGTACTGTTGGCTGGGCTGCTGTAATCATTGATGTACGATAGACTTTGTTTGTGGCTTAATATTGTTGTCGTTGTTGCAGTTGCGGCAACGGCTGTGGTTTCTGTTGAAGCTACCTGTACATACAACTTTATGTGATTCTGGTTTTTGTCCTCTTCCTAGTTGCAATCGCTGTTATGGTGCTATAGTTCCAGTTGTTTTTTATGTTGCTTTGCCTTAATGTTTTTGTTTTTTGTCTTCATTTTTCAATTCTTTATTTATTTAGATTATAATTTGTGTATCGTGCGTTGAGCTGTGCTTTTTTTGCATAGTTTTTGTCTCTTGTATATTTCGCGCTTAACTTGGCAGTAGCAATCTGGGAACTGTGTTGTGCAAAAAATGCGATATGTATGTATTTATGTACATGCAACTGAATACATAATGTGAACTGAAGAGCGGTAGCGATACCCTCGCTGGCTTCCAGTTATTTGGAAATTATTAAATAAATCCACTTCACGGTTACGCGGCATAATTAGTATTGAATGTAAATACTAGTGGTTTTATTTATAACAAGCATTAATTAATGCATGTATTTGCATGCACATAATTAGGACGGGTCGACCAATATATGTATGTATGTACAAATGAAAAAGAAAATTTTGTAATAACACTGTGGCACAATTTCAGGGATTTTGTTTAGGATCTCAACCAAATAATGCCCAAGCGGTAGTATTCACACGTGAAAGTCGAACCCTCAAAGAATTTTGTTACAGTTGGTAAAAGTTCCCACTTTTTGGTCTTAACCTCAAATTTCGCACCGAGCACACACGCATTTAAATTCGGGCCTGCACACTTTTCGTTATCGGAAAATCATAGAAGATGCCGAAAAGGATGAGTACGACAAGGTCGTTTAGTAATCATTGTGCACGCATCGTTTGTTTACATTTTATGGGAAAAATTAATGAAAAGGTGAATAATTAATTAAATTCAAATTACGTAAAAATTACTATTTATTTAATCCATAAAACATATCTCAAGAAAAAAGAGAAATGAATGAAATAAATTATTGCTGCACATGTAATCGTTGCATCATGATTGTAAAGATGAAGCAACTATGATTAGACGACCGGTGTGCAGAAAGCCTTAGACGGTTAAATTTCTTAAGCGTGTAATTTTAAAAATTTTTCCAGAAAAATAATAACTCGATGATTAAAGACAAATGCAAGTTCATAGAAATTTTGAGTAGGGTTGATCTTATAAATAAATAACAACGTTATTGAATATGTGCATAGATATGTATTTAGCCTAGACTGTGCCACATAAAGCGAATATTTTGTTTTCTTTTCGGTCCCATATGAAAATTCAAGGGCAAAGCTGCGAGGTTCCAAGTTTCGATATAAAATATTCGGTTTGTTGAGGAGATGCCTATAGCCACACCATACTGTCCAAGTCTGCAGTAGGTGTCCAAAATTTCAAAAAAAACTTGTACAGCCGTTCCCGACAGCAGCTTTTATAAAAATAAGGAGCTTCTTTTTATATAATTAGTATAGATAACACAGGACAACACTGAATTTTATGCGGCAAATCTTAAAGCTGCCGCGAGTTCTAGCTTTAAATTAAGCCTAAGTGAAAGGTTCTATCACCTTTTGTTTCCCTGCTAGAGCTTCTCAAATATTGCAAAATCCGCGAATTTTTGACACTTTAACCACGTTTTTCTCAAAATCTACAGCTGATGGAAACTTTATACTTACTCTATACAAAGTTCATTGGTTCACCGAAATCCGTCAAAATAGGCAATCAGCTTCGTGACGGTTCGTTGGGTTTTGTTCACTTTAAGAAAAATGTCGAAACGGAAAAACGAACATTTAGTTTGCATGAAAATTATACGAATTTGTATTTATACATGTACATTATTTCTTTATTATTTAAAAATATTATACATATTATAATAAAATGGACACTCGGTTATGATGGACAATTTGAGGCGGTCCCGTTGAGTTCGTGATAACCGGATTGCACTGTATATGCTAATCTAGGAAAAAGGCTACCTACGTACCAAATTTCAAGCAAATCGGACCATAAATAAGATTTTTTCGAATCCACCTTACGGAAAATAGTAAATTTTTTTCCCTTGCCATGGTGGTTGCTGAAAGCCGGACCTACTGTTCGCGAGATTACCTGTTACAAAAAAAGGGATTTCTCTTTATATAATTCGTATAGATAGATAAGAGAACATATTGCATGGAACTGAATTTACCATAACTCGACTTCGGAGGCACCTATCGGGTCTATTTTTGGCAGGCTTATTTGTGTTTACGCACCGTTTGAAGCAAATCGGACCATAAATGCGATTGTTTAGCGTAGCTCTACCCCTGCACCACCTACCGGAATAATTAAAACTTTGTACACTCCTCCTTCTTAACACCTTTAGAACAAAGAAACAACCATTCAATCGGTTAAAAAACATATGAGAAAATTTTTCCCATTGATTCATGCTCACAATGAATTTTCAAAGCATCACAACGAATTCTCCACCTTTACATCGTCCAAAATCAATCAAATCATGCGAAAAAAGGCAAATTCAAATTCAAAATTTTCGCGTTCTTCTGAGTTTTCCACTAAGAAATTTCTATTTTTCCATTCGAAAAGCCATTCCGAAACAATTGCACACAAAATTCCATACAAAAAATTAATTTTCGATTTTTCCAATTTCCCGACTTTTCCGGAGGGGTTTCCCAAAATTTTCTTTCGTAAAAACCTTTTCCTGGCAATTAAGAACAACAAAAAAAAAATGAGCCAAATCGGCCCAGCCGTTCTCAAGTGATGAATTACTATACATTTTTCACACCATTTATATATACATATACAGTATCGGTCATATCTATAGCACGCCATTTCAAAGTGATATTGTGTGCAACTTATGTTTATTTATTTATTTTTGAGAATTTTCAATTAAAATGCAGTTTTTTCTCTAACAAACCCCATATAAACCCAAGTTTAACAATTTGTAGAAAACTTCAAAAAAGTGCAACAAATTTTCACCTAAATTTCAAACTTTTTTCTCGGAAGTGTTTGAATTTTTCTGAATACACAGTTTTATAGCCCAATCAATTTTAGTCTGATAATGTGCAAGTTTCAAGTGAATGAGTTGAGTTTTTAGAATTTTTTTCGCCAAAGGTGTTGCGGTTTTCATCCAATTGAGTTTATTCATTATATGAAAGCCAATGCGACAAAAAAAATCTAATAAATTAACGGTAATTCGTAGCCACTTGAAATTTGCACATTATCAGACTAAAATTGCAGTGGCTAAAAAACTGTGTACTCAAAAAAATTCTAACACTTCCGAGAAAAAAGTTTGAAACTTAGGTGAAAATTTGTTGCCATTTTTTGAAGTTTTCTACAAATTGTTAAACTTGGGTTTATATGGGGTTTGTTAGAGAAAGAACTGTATTTTAATTGAAAATTCTCAAAAATAAATAAATAAACATAAGTTGCACACAATATCACTTTGAAATGGCGTGCTATAGATATGACCGATACTGTATATACAAGATTTGTTAAAAATTATCCACTTTTCTTGAGTGTGTTTATGTGCACAACCAAAAATTCGAAATATGCATTGTATTTTAAATCTTAATATGTGATGCGACCTTGGGCCTTGTCTGGATGCGTGCTGGTGTTTAATTAGGTTTAAGTTATATGTACATACATAACACAATGGAAATGTAGATAAGTTATATAGTCATTTAGCTTTTAGAATCTTAGTTTAAATAAAGACGGCTACTCTGTAGCGGTGTGATTCTCTACACTGAGAATAGAGTTCAGTTACGTCAGCTAAATATGTTTAACCCAATACATGACAGGTACATTATTTGGCTATAGTTACCAAATAATATGTTGAGAGGAAAATATTTCGATGACTTTTGTAGTAGAAACGCGATGGTTTCGCTTCTTAGCGGGCTGGTCATCCATGGTGCGTTTTCAGGTCTAATGGTAGTCAGAGCTGTAACCAAAACTTGTTTTCATAAAAACTATTTTTATATGTGGCATATATTTATGTAAGTATGTGTATTATATTTAAGTAAACATATTTGTATGTCTATGATAAAGATACATTTCATTTATAGGTTAAGTGGCAACGTATTACATCTAAGGGTTAAACAAAGTAGAACGACGAGCGACGAAGCGAAGAGCTAGCATCGAGCAAAGCTTAAATTACAAACGTGTATGTACGCTTTGCTCTTCACTATGCGCTCTCCCATTGAAAAACATATGTATGCGTTTGAAATCGACGCTTTGCCCGATGCTCTTGGCTCGCCGCTCCACTATGTTTTTAGCCTAAGACTTTTCCAAAGGTACTTAAAACAAATGTATTTCAGAAAATGCTTATAGCAAGATACGAGTACATACATATGCAAATAAAAATAGTTAGTTAAATTAAGTATTAGTAATTGTAGTAGAATACTATTTTTAAGCAGTTGGAGCTTATACAACTAAGTATACAGTTAAGAGTTATTCATTTGTATTAGTAGCTGCGAAGTTAGAACTCNATATTTATGTAAGTATGTGTATTATATTTAAGTAAACATATTTGTATGTCTATGATAAAGATACATTTCATTTATAGGTTAAGAGGCAACGTATTACATCTAAGGGTTAAACAATAGTAGAACGACGAGCGACGAAGCGAAGAGCTAGCATCGAGCAAAGCTTAAATTACAAACGTGTATGTACGCTTTGCTCTTCACTATGCGCTCTCCCATTGAAAAACATATGTATGCGTTTGAAATCGACGCTTTGCCCGATGCTCTTGGCTCGCCGCTCCACTATGTTTTTAGCCTAAGACTTTTCCAAAGGTACTTAAAACAAATGTATTTCAGAAAATGCTTATAGCAAGATACGAGTACATACATATGCAAATAAAAATAGTTAGTTAAATTAAGTATTAGTAATTGTAGTAGAATACTATTTTTAAGCAGTTGGAGCTTATACAACTAAGTATACAGTTAAGAGTTATTCATTTGTATTAGTAGCTGCGAAGTTAGAACTCTGAAAACTCCTCGTGAAAATTTTCATTTGCTGGAATCTTAGAATGGAAACTTCACTAATTCCTTTAGCGTTTTATAAATTAAACTAAATAATAAATGCAAGAGTGTGCTATTATAAGTATGTATATATGTGTATAAATTTACATACATATTTATATATCGTACCCTAAATAAAAAGCAGTCACAACTCAGAAATCCCAAATGTTCAGGAGAGGCAAAAAACTGTTTATGGATCAATGTCCAATTTATGAGAAAAAAATAAAATTTGTAAAATTTTGAGATGTGTCTGTTTTCAATTTAGGGTGCGATATGTATAATTGCAAGACTAATAGGCAGGAAGTTTGCTTTTGAGTAAACTTTGAGATTATCTATGAATGCTCTCTCAAAGTGATCTTTTACGAGTGCAAATGGGCGAGTGCAAATTACCCCCAGTCATTGATTTACAAATCCGCCACAGACTTTCTACGCACGTATTTAGCAAAGTAGTCTGGACGCCAGCACTTGCACGAACCCGGAATTAAAAACCAATCATAGTAGAGTCGCACTTGGAAACAACCAATATCATCGTGTCCATCACAGTGTTGGTTATATTCAGGTGCATTCGGGTTATTGTGGTTAGTACCATCAGATGCAGTAGCTACACCGGCACGCTTTTGCAGATACTGCTGGTAAGCTTGGAAGTCTTGTACAGATGGTGCTTGTGTGGTCGTTGTTGTAGTCGGTACAGCGTCCTCTGCATTTGGGTAGAAAATTTCCGCAACAAGCAAGCTAACCCAACGTGGTGAGGATAAACAGCCACCGTCGAGGTAATGACAGCGCGCTTGTATACAGCGAGTCACTTCAACGGTCTGTGTGAAGTAACCTTCGTACGGTATTTGTACTACATATCGCCAAAAGCCTTGGTAGTTTTTCGCAAATACTGGTGTGGCATATTCGACCTTGGCCGGACAGGGAGTGGGTGGTCCCTCATAGCGTATGGGTCCGATTTCTTCGCGGCGCTCTGCAGTAGCTTGCGGTGTGGCCGAAGTATCACCTTGTATGGCGCGATACAAAGTGCAGAAGCTGTAAGAAGAAAAAAAAATAAATAGTAAAGTAAATGTGAAAAAAATAATTTATGTAGTAATTGAAACATATGTATGTATGTATTGCGATAAGCGATCCAAGAAACTTACACTCCACCGCCATCACAGAATTTGCGTGGCTTGCGTTCTTCGGTGGCGCGACTATTAATGCGCTGTTCTTCGTCTAGGGCCGGATCGAAATAGCTGAATTCGTGTTCCTCATTCCGTGGCTGGCTATTTGGTTGTGGTGGCGTTGAGCGTTTCGCGCGTGCATTGTAGTGCCGGTCGATATTATTGTTGTCCACCTGATCGACTGGTTCGTCGCGTATTATTTGTGTCACCTTGGGTAGAGTGTCGTCTGCTTTAAGCACTGGCAGAGTTTTCGATAAAAACTTTAGTGTTTGATTCCGTATTAGTTCACTAGAGTAGCAAGAAAATATAAATATGTAGTCGTATAGTTGTTTTTTAGTAAATGCATATTTGGCCACAAAACATGGCTCACATGACTTGTTGTTGATATTTACTTACAATGGATATGGCTCGCCAAGTACATTTTGTCGCATTGGATTCTGTGGAATTTGTCCTTTGTTTAAATCACCACAAATATTGTTAACAGATACAGCAGCCTTTTTGTTACCACCCACATTTTTGCAATCCGCACTGACATGCGTATATGGTGGAGGACGCACTTTCGGCGGTACAGCGTTTGGCGATTCAACAAAAGCGTAATAACCCTCGGGCGGTTCGTCGCCATAATCGTTTTGTGTTTGCGCCGAGCTATCAACAGTAAGCAGCGAGAGGCATATAAATTTCTAAAAAGAGAAAACAGTTATTTATATTATTATTGTTTAAAAAATTATAATTAGTGCAGACAGTCGCAGGAAATGCGGGGGCCCTACAGCGAGTACCTATTAAAAATATTATAACCGTATAATACGATTATATTACTGAAACTATACTTTTCGAGATTTTTGACTTGCAAAAATTTGAAGTAATAATGTCGTCGAAATTGAGTTCGCGAAAAATATCCCGATCTAAACAAAACACGAACAAGTCGAATTCTTTCCTAAAGTCGATTTTAAATACTTTTAAGTTTTGAAAATAGCCCTTCGCCTGGTTCAATTACCTGCCATCATCGATAGATAAAAGCGCAGCATGATTTCCGCATTGACGAACGTGGAATGCAAATTGTTTTCTTTGATAACGCGATATAAATATATTTCTACCATGTGCGAACAATTATAGTATTTCATATTCAACCAAAACACCGAGTTAACCATAGTTTTTGGGGATTTTAGACCATTAAAATGTGTACATATGAAGACACATACATATGTATATATCGTCGATGTTTTTGCAAAACCGCTTATCGACCAATTGCAAAACCGCCTATCTTTTAAGGCGCTGGCCCAATGCAGGCTTGCTTTGCACGCCTTGCTTACTTTAATTTGGTTTGATTTACCTACTGAAAACTTGTTTGACCAAATGGCGGCTGGGTACGCTGTCAAAGTAACCAGCTGTGTGGTTGAAAAGTTAAAGTCTGTTCCCTTAACTTTAAGAATTATTTTCCTACAAAACTCCAGAATATTAAAAAGAAAAAATTAAATAATACAACTCAATCTTTTCACATTTATTTTTACATGAATGCGAACTAATATTTGTATTTCAATGAAATGGTCATTATGATACATATAACATAATTCATAAAGGCCCTAACCAATACTTTTTTCGAAACTGCGTTTTTCTCTTATGTATTTTGGAAAGATGTCTTAAGATGCACCTTCAATTAAAATCTTAAAGTTGCGTGTCACTTTTTAAAAAGCCCTACAATTTATTTTTGATACTCCTTTTGTAGTGTTTTTAGCTTCTACTGTAAAATAAAAAAAACTGGCTGGTTATGGCTTTTGTGAATTAAGGTAACGATATGTACATTTACTAAAAAAAATTATAACACAAAACAAAAACGATTTAATTGAAGAATAAGGCTATAAGGTGTTTTTTCTCTCGTTTAAAGTTTGCAAAAGTGACTTTGAAACTTTTTAATCTAAGCCAGCGATATGTTAAATATACATACATAAATATGGAAACAACGAATTTTTTAAAATTATGTAAGCAAATTTTTGTTTGAACAGTTTGCAGCATTTTGTTTAAATTCGTTTAGAACAGGAACATACCTCTTTGCCAAAAGCCTACAAAACGCTTTCAAAAAAAAAAACATTTGCCTGTTTGAAAGTTTGAGGCGCTTAAAGCAAGGGTAGTAAACCTGCCATTTGACCAGCCTTCATACGTTTTAGTATATTTCAAATAATTTTTGACAGTTCTCGAAGCGAAGCAAGCTAATAGGCCCGTCAGAATGGGTACTTGTACGTCAATAACGGTAAAGTATACGGAGGAAGTGACATACGTGCCGTAGAGATACGCCACAATAAAGGTGTTGGGGCTGCAAAACAAAAATCAGCTGTTCCTTATGGCCGCGTACTTGCCGTTTACACAAGTCAATTTTTCAAGTACAACAGCAAAACATTCACACTTTGTTTACTAATTTATTCACACTTCTCTTGATGTATTCGTCACTATGTTTGGCTTTTAGAACATACACAGAGAACGGACTCAGCTAAATATATTTCCCTTAATAAAATATTTTGTAACTATAACCAAATGTAACTATTACCAAATCATGTGTTGAGGAAAATATATTTAGTTGACGCAACTAAACCCTTTTCTCAGTGAAGTTTATTGTCTGGATGCCTACTTTACTCAAACAATGTGACAATTAATGCATATTCTCATTTGGCTTGTCTTGTGTAAGCGCAAGGTTATACAGTGACGGACTTATGTGCGTCAAAAGTTAAGTATTGGCCAACGTTCGTTGCGTCCGTGGACGCAAGGGTTGCCAATCTGACGCTCCCTGTGTAATTACACACAGTCTACTCAACTGACAGTTTTATCCTTGAGCGTCACGTACGCAAAGTACTCATTCTGACGGGGCTATAAGCAAGCAAGCCTGCATTGGACCAATTCTTTTACGACACTGAAATTTTTCAGGAGAGCGAAAAAACGGCTTTTCTTTGAAGGCATTGCCTTGAGAGGCGGTATTTTCTCTAGCAATTATTTTACAAATCTGTTGGTTTAATAACAAATTTATTCAGGGTTACCAAATCTAATTTTTGCCACAACGCCGATTTAGGCGGTTTTGCAACTGGTTGATGGGCAGTTTTGCAAATACATCGACAAATATATAAATATGTACACATTTATTTCCAATTCCACTCAGGCCGCTTACTTTTGAGAAGAACAATAAGTCAGGTTTTAACCTGCAACAACATAAAAAATATAAGAGCAACACCATACAACAATAATAAAGAAAGTGTTTGAAGTTATCTATGTATGTACATAGGTATGTAAAGCGTTCAATTTCGTGTATTATTGAAGTGCTTCTTCTGCTCTGTTGCCGCGCTTGTTGTTGTTGTTTTTTTGTAGACAAAACATTAACTTTCGCCAAAAATGAATTGTTGGGGAGTTTTTTTTATGAGACAAATGTAATTTGAAGTTTATTACGTACATACATATGTGTGCTATAACAAAGTACGATGTATTATTATTTTATTGTTCAGGCATTAACTGTTGCTTAGTTGCTAATATTGACGATATTATGTACGGCTATATATGTAGATGTTACTGTACGTTGTTTCCAATTATGATGGCGAATATTTTCTCAAGAAATACATATACATACGTATGTACATATGTACGAAAAAATTTAGGAAACATTTTTTAACAAGTCTTCGTAAAGAAAATAGATTTTTTATTGCCGAATACATTTGTACGTATGTAGTTAACTGCAAACGTAAACGTATTAATTGTAGCTAGTCTTACATAGATGCTTACCTATAAACGTTAATATGTTTATTTTAATTTGAAGTTTTTTTTATATGTATTTTGATATAATTGCGATTCTCTTTTACTGTTATTCTTTTAATTACCATTTCCAAAAATGCGTCATTTTCTACTTAAAATTTTTTTTTTACTTTCACATACTTAGTCGCCCTTTGAAGAGTACAACTAGTTTTGATTGGCATCATATTTTGGAACTCATTAGGTAGTCATTATGCAGGTATGCTTGGCTAATTAACAACGCCTTAAAAGTATTTTTGCGTTCTTACTCCCGCCCAAAACTCTTATTTATAAATGGCAACCCTAGAAAATATTTTCGACAGTAAACTTTCTTAATCCTAGTTGGTTATCTAGTCATATTGGAATATTTAATTTATCTTATCAATTAAATTAAATTAAAATTTTGAAACGGGCGGAAACCTTCCACAAAAATTATCTCGGCTGTAAGCCTCCTTAAACGTCTTTCTTTTGAGTTTGTGATCGCAGAGCAATATTTAAAACAATTTAAAATGATTAAAATGCAAATATTTATACATTCAAAATGCCTTCCTGGGGATCTTGGGGTTCGAAGAATCTGAATTTGCAATTTATATTTTGAAAACGGCCGCTAGGGTGCGTTTTAATGTAAAAAACAACATAGAAGGAACATGAATGCCAAATGTAAACAAGGTTTCTTCATGTTTATTTGCACCAAAGTGCTCCCCGAAGTCGCGGCGTTTTTGGTAAAAATAAACGATTTTTGGTAAAAATTAATTGCACATTCAGATTTCTCTTGCACGAAAACCCCTGGAAAGCTCTTTTGGTGGTATAAATATTTGCAATTGAATCACTTTTAATTCATTAAAATGCTGCCGTGCGACCACCAACTTCTATTGAAAAAAACGCTTAAAATCGCGACCCTAAGAAAACTGAGATGTTACTTTTCTAAATACATTCCAGACATTCAGAAAAACTTGGTTTCATCAATTCCTCAGAAAAAAAGTGAAAATGTCGTACACTTATAAGTTCTAAGAATTTTCTATTTAAGCCTCACCATTCACTTTAATAGATAAAATTTTCCTCCTCGGCACATCTGTATTTATCTAAGTAAAAGAACAATGCTTGTCGTATATAAATGGAAAAGAAACCTAATAAAATAAATTTAAGAGATGATTTAATTTCACTTCTTCTTTCAATTACTAAGTGAAATGAAAAGTGACCCTGCGGTGAATCAATGACTCCAATTTAACAGTCTTCTCTTACAATCTACGTTTCCAGTAGCTGCAGGCAAAGCATACCGCAATTTCTTTGACCTTTCAATTGCTATATGTATGTATGTCTGCATAGCAACTGATTACATTTGATTTATTTCTTTCTACCCACTACATGTTTTACGGACACTAATACATTTGTAATAACTTAAATACCGAGAAAGTGAAATGCTTCTGTTTCTCATTTGTTGTTTTTTTTTTGTTGCTTCCAGTTTTTTTAACACAGCTACATTTTCTTGTGGAGATATTGACTGAATTTTGAGATTTTCGGAATTCAAAATGAACAAATACATACATACATATGTACATGCATAGTATATGAATTCATTGAATGGGTGTGCTTTATTCAATACATTTGTGTCACCTGTGCAGTAAGCACCAAAAGAAATGGGAACGTGCGGCATTAAGCGTGCTAGAGTTTGAAAGTATGTAGCTCTTAGTTTGCATACCAAAATATTCGAATTAAGTAGGTCAGACGTCAGCATTCAGGGTTTAGGTTACAGTAGATTGTTGACGTGAATATACATATGTACACTGTCTGGTTCCTTGGTACACTTGAATTGTTATTAAGTGTTCATATGCATCTCCAATGCTCATCTTTTATGCGCATTTGTTAGAAAGGAATTTATATTTTACAAGAGCTCGCATCGAACGGCCTGTCGGATTAAGTATGTAGATGATAAGCAAATAAATTAAACTAGCAATAATATATACTATGTAGCGGAAAATGGCTGCGTCATGAATGAAAGTTTCTAACTGAACTGTATGCGAACGAGTTGTTAACAGCGAAAAGTTTCTATGTAGATTTGGAGAATTAAAAACTGTGTTCAGGGGAATTTTTGGCATTAATGCTTCTAGCTGAAGAGGCTAAATTAAATATGCATATATATATATATATATATATATATATATACATATATTAGCAACAGCTATACACTTGTAAAAATGTCCAAAATTAATATGTGCCATTGTTTATTTCGTAATTAATTTGTTTACGTTCTCTTGTTGTTGTAAATGATGCGTACGGCTCACAAGGTGCCAGTAAGAATATGCTGAAAAAAGTTACAGACATGCCGCAAAAAGAAAGCAACGGCATTTCGTGACCGACTTTTTAGTAACAGAAAACAGAAAAAAAACATGGCGCTCATACAAATATACAAAATTCATACTAACATTTCTGTATTCATAACCATCGTATAACTACCCTGTCGGAAAATCAACTACTTTAAATGCAGTTTAATTTGTGCTTTTTTATTGACTACAAGTTCAACTACTTCAACTAATTCGTTTTATTGTAAGCAACTGACGTAAAACATGTCCAAACCAGTTCAATCGTTGTATTTTTATGCATTTAATTGTGTCCATGTCGTTAAAAAGCTCCTACAGTTCGTCATTCCATCTTATTCGGGGCAAAGATCTTGCGTAGAATAGTTCTCTCGAAAGCATCCAAAGCCTTCTTACCTTTGTTCTTAATCGTCCACGTTTATGTGCCATATAAAAGGACGGCCATCATGAGAGATTTGTAGAACGTAATTTATATTCGTCGCGAGAGGGCTCTGATTTTCAATTGCCTACCGTGCCCAAAGAAGCACCCGTTGGTAAGAGTTATTCTTCGCTTGATCTTCAGGCTGACATTGTTGGCGGTGTTAATGCTGGATCCTAGGTAGACAAAGTCCTTCACTCACTTCAAAGTTATAACTTCCAATAGGGACTAGTCTCCAAATAAGCGAAGACTTTTTATATGTGGCCAGGAAATGCTAGACAAACCTCTTTAGGTTCTGTACTAAGCTGAAAAACGCTGCGCCCTTTTGGTACTATTTTCTGATAAAAAAAGAATTATTGAAAACGCTGCGCTTGGTCCAAAGTTATCCTTCCTCTTTTTTTGAAGTCGGTTAAAAATATGGCTATCCTTATTTTCTATTATTTTTGTTTGAGGGGGGAGGGGGGGGGAGGCGTTGGGAGTTTGGCAAGAAGTAAACATCAAAAAGTTCATTTTCCAGTGTGTTTTTGGACCACCCTGCTGTATGTGCTGTCGCCGAAATGAGAAATAAAACAAAAAAAAACAGTGCAATATAGATACCAATTGTTCTCTAGACTCATAGTGTAGGTTTAGCTAATTTTTAATTTAAAAATTTTAACAACAGTCCTTACAAAACACTTAATGATCAGATGAAAAACGTATGAACATGCAATAGATTTTACCTTGTAATTAAGTTAAATTCGACTTTTCAAACAGGTGACAACCCTCTGAAAATATTTTGGATCTTAAACCTATTTCGTCTGACATCCCTATTGTGATGCATATGCGTGCCCCATCAATTCACTTAATTCAAGTTGAATTTGACTTTTTAAATAAGTGGCAACCCTCTTAAAGGTAGTTTGGAAATAATGCTTTTACAAAAATATTTCGATTAGCACACATATTTTAATGATTCATTTAACTTATTAAATCATTTTATTCAAATTTTTTCTCATGTGGCAACCCTTTAAAAAAAATAAAAGCCTTTATTTTGACACCTAATTTTTCTTAAACCGCACAAACAGTTTAGATCTGATGTCATTCGCATGCTACTTTATCTCTGTTGGATAGCCATCAATTTATCCTAAATATCCATGCGAAAGCCTATGAATCTTAACTCGATGAAGTATCTTCACTTTCTACTAGTAACTTTTTACTTATCTCGGCGCTATATTGTGTCTTAACTCCAAAGCTTAACAGCTAAAATATGACAACCTAAGTGTGAAACTGAATCAAACTGCTAACAATTGAATTGCAGCCGAGCTCTAAGGTATCTATTTTTAAAGTTTCAAGTCTCAACATTGTACTGAAATCTGGACAAATAACAACGCGAGTGCTACAGTTGCTGCAAAGTACATATTTTATTTCCAACTTCTTTTAAAATTGATTAATTTTTGTGACTATCACCTTTAATCCGTTTATTCCGACAGGGAATGCATATTATTGCATACATATGTGTATCAGTTCCACTATATGGCATATGTACATGCGTGCTTATTTAAATACTCGTGTGTTGGTAAAACTATGCAAGCGATTGTGTCATTCAAAGCAACACACACACAAAAGATGAGTTCGATATCCAGTAATGTGTGAAGAATCGTTCTAAATATGCATACAGCCATATCCATTTTTAAGTAACGGGAAAACATGCGCGTATTTTGATGTTTGCATTCCGTAGTTGCCCTCCTCTGTACACTCTTTGTGGTACATAAATTTAAGTGAACTTTCCACATCTCCTTTAAGTTACTTTGCTAAAAAAGCATCGTACACTCAGCTGCGAAATTTTTAATGAAAAACTTAAACAACTACCGAAGAATCGGCAAGTGCTGATGCCACAACATATTTTTCTATGCTTCAGCATTTCCCATACTAGCCAACATACAAGTCATAGTACATAAAGCAGCTAAAACGAAAGAGTTGAGCAACGAACCCGAATGAATAAATTCTATTCTAGTAAAATGTTAGAAAAAGAAATAATGCAATAATTACTTTGCGCATTTATTGCAAAACTCTTGTGCCGATATACATAGATACTTACATATATAGAAAGCAAAAAAGCTAAGGTGCTCTGAACAATCTAGAACATGTAGAGGAAATGCAGTATGTACATACATAAGTACATGCTGCAACAAATGTTCAGAATCACTCAAAAGTGTATATGCACGCATACAGATAACCGGAAAAGTTATTAAATTTTCCTAGCAAGTAAATAATTTGTCGCTCTTTGATTTTCATCAAATTGTTTAACCTACCCAAAATAAACGATTATCCATTGCAGCAACTAGCGTTCGACAAGGAACACCTAAATATTCACTTTAAAATTTTTTTTTTCCAACTTCTTTTTTTGTTAAATATTTTTCTTTTATTAATTTCAGTTGCACTTCTTATGCTCTTACTATTTACTCTGCTAAAACTAACACTTTTCCTTGATAGTTGTAAGCACTTAAGTGCTTGTAATACTTATTTATTTCTCAATGAAATTAGAACAAGATCCGTCAAAAGCTGCCACTCAACTGAAATGTTATTATGTGCAACCTAAACATTGAACCTCTGGATGTTGTGGCGCAGCATAAGACCACTTGTTAGTCCATGGAATTCAATCTCTTCATCATTGTGGCTTCCAATGTCTCTTTGCCAATGCCAATGCCATCATACTATGAAGCGCTATGAGTTGTAAATGGTATAAAGTTGACTTTTCTTACGCTCACCTCTATGTGTATGTATGTATCTATCCAGTTCGAGGAGAATTTCTTTTCTTACATTTCTTCGTGCACTTTCTTCTTTGGTGCTACGTACAATTATGTACGTGTATACGATATTAACCAAATATATATAAGTATTTATGTGAGTGTAAATTGCTGGGTTGCTGGGTTGCTGGGTAATATGTGCTAACTAAAGCGCTTGTGCCGGTTACGTGTAGTTGCTTGTTTCGCTTAGAGCAGATTGTTGGTTTAAATATTTTACATAAATAACAGTGCTGTTAAATCGCTACATTTAAATGATATGTAAATCCATATATACACTGTCACTCAGCAGAATAGGTTCAGCATGATTTCAACTTTAGGCAAATGGAGTTTCGAAGCCAGTTAAATTTCCAATAGAACAACACCAAAAAAGGGGCAAAAAGGGGGGTTTTTTGACGTTTTTCAAAGAATGGAGAAAAAAGAAAACTAAATCTTTCAATAGAATAGGTTCAGTGTAATTTATTACTGCTTAAGTATGAATTAGCAATAAAAACACATATGTTTCTTTCAAATTAGCTATTTTTCATTCATTTGTAATGTTTCAGTACAACCTCACTGATTGATAACTACTTCGAAAACTCGATCAGGAATATAAACGTAAAGGGACTTTAAGTAGTTTAAGGATACATCGACCCCCGCGGCTTGACTGACAGTAATTAAGTTTGTTTTATATTCGAATTGCTTTCCTGAGTTCCGTGTAAGCCATCCCCGATATTAAGGTCTGGAGAATATGGCGGCCATTCCCAGTTTTTAACAACCCGTGCAGTGAGTGTTGGAGCATTATCTTGTTGGAACTCCAGTGTATTGGCCCAAATGAAATTGAAAAGTGTTCCCTTGCCAAATAATGCCATAATTTTTGTTGAGTGAAATTCCAGCTCGATTATATCGAAATGCAATAAAGCACTCAAACCATTAAGCCTCCTTCCCGGCTGCGATGGCGTTCTAGAAATTGCTGCTTTTCACGACGTTGGTGAAAGTAGTTGTAATAGCCGTCGTGCCCATCCATGTTGAACTTTTTCTGATTCGAGAAAACAACATATTGCCACTTGCACTGCAGCTGACAAGACCCTTTATTGGCATCCTTTCATATTTTTCCGTACTGTTTAAAAACTGCATATTTCATTTTGGCTTGGTGAAATAACACAAGCGGCAATAACGCAAAATTTGCTTTATTTCACTTTTAATGGAAATTAAATTCACTAGTAACAGTTTAATATTCGATTCAACTACGGATATTACGTTATTTAACCACTTAGCTACTGATTTCAATATTCGCAGTGTCCACTAACATAAGGAGTATTCGCTATGCAACTGCCAGTAAGAATTAGCCAGTAACAAAATTCAGAGAACAAGGTATCTTACTCTCTCAAATAGAGAAACTTACTGAGTTTTGCGCAAACAGGAATTAGCAAACATTTGCAAGCTTCACTGCCAGCTGGCGTCCACGGTTGCATTACGAGCATAATAAATTTTTAAAATTATTTCAGGTGGAAACAAAAACAGGACCTATACGTATATTTCTTCTTATTTTGACTTTCCTCAACATACGCTTCAATTTCTTTGTGGAAGTCACTGTCGGATTTCCTATATCGACAGTGGTGCCGACTGCGTTCCGATTACGAATACAGCTTTTTCAGCCGAGTACCCTTCAAATGTTTGGAATTAATTATATTAATTGAATAAACGAATATTTACATACTTCTTTCATTAGTAAATCGTAACAAGATTGTTCATTTTTAAATTTAACGAACTCGTTGATTCAAATTAATGTTGACAAAATGCAACCGTGTGCCACAATCCTGCTTGCAAATTCTTACTGGCGAAAATTTTCCCAGCACGAATTTGCAACTTCCCCTCCAAATGAAATGTCAAAATTGTGCTCTCTCCTTGCAAGTTTTACTGGGTTTTTGGCTAAACGAACACGATTTGGTAACAATTGGTACCAACTTGTACAAATTTTTTGCATAGCGAACACTCCTATACTTACATCTTAAGCTAGCTATAAGCAGTTAAACTATTGTTAAATTAACTTTTCTTTTTGTGGAATGAAATTCAAATTTGTATAGAAAAATTCCCTTCGATCCCTGATCCGGGCAACATCTAAATTAGAAATTGCTTTTCTAACAGCGGCCGCCCATCGGCAGGTATAGAAAACCTCTTAGTGTATTTCTCCTATTAAAAAACTTCTCATAAAATCCATTTGCCCTTCGGTATTCTCTATGACGATATGTCGTAATGATGTCGCACCATGCGTTATCTCATTGTTGAGAACCACATTTAACTGAACCGAATTGAAACGAATAGGAACGGAGCGACGATAAAAACGACAATGCTAACGGGAATAGGCCGGAATAGCAGATTTGTAATAGCATTCTGATCTGATCCTTTGTGTGTAACTATGTATGTATTAGAGGTTTACGCCGAAAGGCTTTGCGGCGGCGGCGTGGTCAACTTCAAAAAGAATCGGCGGCGGCGGCGAGGCCGGCGCGTCTGGAGACGCCGGCGCTACTGCTCATCCTGTCCTGTCATCTCGGCACCCTTAGGCATTCGCCATGGCAATTCAGATTGTAATTGTATTTAATTCATTAATTGAATTAGTTTTAAATTTAAATTATCTTACTTTCTACTTGCAATAAAATCTTGAGTGTCTGCCGCTGATGGATGGGCGAACACACGAAAGTCTGAGGTATATACATATGTACATCTCTATGTTCTCTACAAATCCGTATGTGCTATTTAAATTTAAAGAAATACAAAAATTTACAAGGTCAAGTTATTGGGGTAATTTGTATCGCTGTCAATAAATTTTTGCAATAATCTTATCAACCGTTATGTTAAATTACGGAGTTGTTACGATTTTTTTGGGGGTTATGTATTGAAAACAAGGTTTGGTCTACTTTTTTCCAAAAGTTTAACCCATCAACTCCCACCAGAACGGGCCTTTTTACCCACTGTTTAAAAAATGGCTTATAGATGGTTAAAATTTCCACTAAAATATAATGCGCCAAATTTTTCTTAGGGGAACCGAATGTAATGAAAAATAATAGTAATTTTTAAATAAAATAACTTACGAATGCAAAAATTTGCAAAAAAAAAAAGTTTGCTTTTTATTAAAAGTGTATTAAAAAAAAATTCACAGGAAAATCAACTTGTCTTTGTTTTATCTCTAATAATTGAGAAGTTAGATGCAATAAGGGCGCTTCTGTTAAAACTGCTTTCTGAGATATTGGCGTTAAAGTTTTAGATGTGTTATAACTTTCTTGTTGTTGTAGTATATAAAAAAGTAGTATTGTTGTAGTATTGAAAAAAATTGTCTACTGCGGCAAAAAATCGTCAGATTACCAGTATTTGACTCTAATTTAACTGTAATAAACGCTTTCGATTGAAAAACGTGTTACCTATGTTTTTTCTGAGCTACGCTTTTTTTGGAAATGTTCAGTGGCCCAAATTAAGCAAAAAAAAAACTCCTTTAAAAATGTAATTTTCATTTTCTAAAATAGTGTTTTTTTACGAGGAGTACAAAATTCCTTAGGCGCCGAACGCCGCCGCCGCCGCCGCCGCGCCGATATTTTCGTAATTCGGCGGCGGCGCGTGAAAAATGACAAAAAACGGCGGCGGCGGCGGCGTGGCTCGGCGGCGTATACCTCTAGTATGTATGTATATTATTTGAGTGTTATTTTTCGTTCACAGAGGGCACATGGAAATTCCCATATGCATGTTTAGGAGCGTATTCGATTGATGTGATTGACGGCAATTTAAATTTTCCAACATCGATTCTTTATATGAATTAATTTTCGTGACTTTGGGTTTTTGTAAGTATTTACATCTACATACATACATACATATGTATGTGTATGTGTATGTATGTACAAACATTTTTATGCCCGAGCGCATTTGTGCACAAGGATATAATAACTTTGTTCACATAGATATAGGCATATACTTATATACCAAAATGCTCGGAATGAAGAGAGAAGTCGGTGCAGCTATATCTGTCTGCCCGCCCGTGTGCCCGCGTTAACGATAACCCGAGCATAAATTAAGATTTAAGCAATTCTCAGAAATTTCGATTTTTTTTTGTGANATGCCCGAGCGCATTTGTGCACAAGGATATAATAACTTTGTTCACATAGATATAGGCATATACTTATATACCAAAATGCTCGGAATGAAGATAGAAGTCTGCCCGCCCGTGTGCCCGCATTAACGATAACCCGAGCATAAATTAAGATTTAAGCAATTCTCAGAAATTTCGATTTTTTTTGTGAAATTTTTAATTATTTTTAAATGGCGAGCACATGTCTGAAATTTTTAGTATACGTTTCTTCAGCTGCTAGAATACAAAATCCAACGTGGCGCAACGTTTTAAAGCAATCCGCCATATGTTTTAAACGTTTTTACGCGTTTTTTTTTTTTAAGCGCAAAAATTATCAAAATTCTGCAAAGTTTGACCAAAATTTCTAACTTATTTGGTATTTCATTTTGTAGCCCATCAAATTTTAGTAAAGCCAAATTCAAATTTTAAGTTTCTTTCTTAAGTATTCTAAGGACTTTTTAGTCAGCCCCGTATTTGTACAGGCAAGAAGTATGTATATAAGAAATAAAATGAACTTTTCGTTTCCCATTAGCAATTGAATGTTACGTGAAATAAAGACACCGGCATTATTGTGTTCATTGAGTACTCATCTATTTTCTGTTTTTCAAATTGATTGCTTATTATTTTTCCGTGCTACGTATGCAACTTTTAAGTGCAATGCATTGTGGATAATTGGACTCATGTTTCAACTTATTTGTGTGAATTCGAAATTATCCTTACAAGGTCGATTGCTCATTTGTAATTACAAACATATGTATGTACATACATATGTACATAAATACTTAAAACAGCATGTTTACCAATTTTTGTATAAAAATGAAAAAAAGCCCACCGCGGCAACAGTTCAAATGTTGATTCGCGTTAGTTCATCGTTTGGTCGAGAAAAGAGTGACGGTATGTTTGACGATCTGCAAATGATCTATATGAGTGTACGCATTCTGCGCTTCTGGTCACTGATTTACGAACACACCTGGCGCCGTTATGTTTGCTTATCGATGACAACGTTTTTAGTTTTCACTCAACTCTACTATATGTTTCACACTAGCGAAGGTATCGACGCCATAATTAGGAACTCCTATATGCTGGTGCTTTGGTTCAATACGTTATTGAGAGCTTATTTGTTGCTGTACGATCGGGAGAAGTACGAACGGCTGTTGAGTGATCTAGAAAAATTTTACTATGACCTGAAGGTAAAGTGCTTTTTTGGGATGAAAGTAGTACATATCGCACACCTATGTAGATCGAAAGTTAGCTAACTCAAAATTCAGAGAGGGAAATTTAAGTGCTTGTACTTCGTATAGATTCAACGCAATTACATAATACAAAAACAGGTATAACAGTAGTATTTAGGGTGATGTGTATAATCATGGAGGAAAAATATCTCCATTAATTGGATGCAAGACCTATAAATTGATTTATGCAAAAAAATCGCCCAAAATTATTTTTTAAGTTGATCGCACTTTAGATCTTGGTGTGCGATATGTATATATGTTTTGCACTCTCTTGTGGAGTTCGGCCAGCGTTGGGCATGGCTGTTTAAATGGTTCGAGCTACAAAATCGCCAAATTTTAAGTATTGTTTAATAGAATAATGCAAAAATTTTTGTTACGTCTAAAAAAAACTTACAAATTCGACCTACGATTAATCGAAGTTGATTTAGTTTTTAATTGATTGCTTTAGTTGAGTGATTGTTCTGAAATATTTCCGGTGTTTCCATGCTGGTCATGTATGTTGTTGCGAATATTCGCATTCGCATTAGCAACGGCGGATTATATCTGTAACACATAACGTGTAATGTCAAACAAATCGGAATAGGTTAGTCCCTGGTGCAGCTACCGAAAAAATATATATGTGTTAATCCAACCAGTAAGCCATCTACGTGCCAAATTTCATATCAATCCGTTTAGCCGTTTTTGCGTGATTGAGTAACAAACAACCAAACATATAAACTTTCACATCTACAATATTAGTAAAAAATAACAGTAATATGTATATATACAATAGATGTCACTCCCTGACATATACATACATCCGCAATACTTTCAGATATGAGGCCATGAGAGCAGAAGTGGCCTAAGCCACAATTTTATTTTTTTTTATAGTACGCTAAGCAGCTGTAAATGTGAAAAATAAGCAATACGCGCAATACTTCTATTTTAAAATTTGAGACTATTATAAATATGCTGGTAGGTAGGTACAAACAATTTTTTTTTTTTTTGGGTTAGGCCACTACTGCTCTCATTCTCATTTAGTATGTATAGGTGGCGCCACGCCCACTTTTCCAATAAGATATTTTCCTGCTGTAAAATGGAGCCCATATCTTAAATTAGACCTCAAGCAATACATCGGTGGTAACTGCATTCAATTCCATGTATTAGCTTATGAGTGATGTGTGTACAAACTTACAGACAGACTGACAAAAATTTAAAAATTATTGATTTGGCTTCTGTTGCTCTAATAAAGACCCGCCCATATTCGTTTTTCCTTAATATTTATAATGTAAATACAAGAAAGAAAATCTGTTCCCACATACTTATATATTGATACACATAAAGTTGCTTCAGGAGCACTGAATTACATTACATAAAACATTATAGAAAAAAAATAAACAAATTTAGGTAATTTATAGTACACAGAGCTAAAAACAATTATCTTCTTTTATTTTATATTTTCTCAGAAAACAAAGGATTCCTACATACAAGATCTACTTACCGAGGTCAACTCGACTGGAAAATATATGGCGCGCGGTAATCTCTTTCTTGGACTTCTAACCTGTTTTGGGTTCGCTTTCTATCCACTCTTTACTACCGAAAGAGGTTTGCACTTTGTTGTGTCCATATTTCAGAGCTTGTTTTCCACTAATTTATTTTTTCACTTGTCAATAGTTTTACCTTTTGGTAGCATGATTCCAGGCATTAACGAGTACAAGAGTCCTTTCTACGAGTTTTGGTACATTTATCAGATGATAATCACACCCATGGGCTGTTGCATGTACATCCCTTATACAAGTCTGATAGTGGCTCTGATTATGTTTAGTATTGTGATGTGCAAAGCTTTGCAATTTCGTTTGAAAACTTTGCATCGTGTGCGGCATATTGATGGATTGATTCACAAAAATGTTAAGGAATGTATTCAATATCAGCTAAACATTATAAAGTGAGTAAAGTTAAATTTCTATATTAAATTCTTTTCTAATAGTGTTCATTTATGTCTATACATATACGTATATATATATATATACATTAGGGCGGGTAATTTTTTGTTTGACTATGCGCGTATAGCGTAATATGATTCTACGTGTTATTCTAAGCAAATTGCCCGACGAAGCCAAAGGTCTAAAATCAATTTGGAGTTTGGTCAAATGGCGAAATTAAGTTTCAAAGGAAATATGAAAATTTTCACTGTTGCACCCTCTGGTGGAAGTTTTAAGAAAAAGATAAGTGCAGAAATTGATTCTTTGTACCAAAAAACTCTTTAAAGCATATTTTTATACAAAATGTAGAAGCACTCCTTTTCGACGCTTCTTAGAATTATGCGTAAAGTTCTTCTGTGCTATACGCGCATAGTCGAAAAAATCTCCTATACAAATTGACCCGGTCTAACATACACACAAATACTATATGTATATCGCAATGCAGCTACATCGGTCGAGTGAATGATTTGACAACCTACATTTTTCTTTTGGAATTTCTTGCTTTTGGTACTCTTTTGTGTGCGCTGCTTTTCTTATTAATTATTGTAAGTATTAGTTTAATTTTAAACCAATTCATAAATATCAAGAAAATTACTTATTTCATCAAAATTTTGTTGCAGGTGGACTCAACAGCCCAGACGGTTATTGTTTGTGCTTATATTACAATGATATTTGCACAAATTTTGTCCTTGTATTGGTATGCAAATGAACTTCGGGAACAGGTATTTAGTTAATATAAAGATATGAACAAATTTGCACACACTTTTCTAATTTAAAAAAATTAAGTACAGACGCAAAGAAACTTCTCTCCATAGTTGCCCAAGAGTTCGAATAATAAAAGTTTTTTTCATTTGAGGTGTTCACTGTTTATTATGAAATCGGTTACAAAATGTTCTCGTCAAATGAGGGTAGTCTTCCAGCATTCACTGTGAAATTCTCGCAAAACTTATAGTGTAACCTATACCTATATATAAGTAATAACCTACACAATTTTAATTTTTAAACAAAAAATACAACCAACTTTAATGTTCAAATAAAAATGTCCGATTTTCGCGAAATCTTCGAAAATGCGATCACTAAATCCGTATCGCTACGAACGTAGTATGCACGGTGGCGAAAATATAAATAGGCACGCGACATTTTAACAAGTTTTTCTTTTGTTTATTTAATGTAAATTATAATTTCTTTTATAAAAGTGTAGCTCATCTCTAACAAAAAATATGAACATAATTCAAAATTTATAAAAGTTCGACGAATTTCAACAAATTTTCAAACTTTTTTCTCAGACTTTTTGGAAAAATTTTTGGTATGCAGTTTTGTAGTCCATTAAATTTTGGTGCCCATTAAATAAAGGTCAAGTTTGAAGTGGCTGCAAAATATCGTTGATTTTTAGCATGATTAGACGATGTTACTTTTTTCCAAAAAAAAAAAAAACAATTGCCAAAAATCAACGGTAAGTCCTGGATATTTCAAACTTGATTTATATTATACTAAAATTGAATGACAATAAAAATGTGTTCGTGCTTATCCGAATTCAGTGGCAAAATTGCCGAAAAATTGGACTAAAATGGATTCAATGATATCCCAGATTATTTTATGCAATTCTCAACCCTACTTCATCTCTATTCGATTTACCAAAAATATTTTTACACTAAAAAATCTTACCAATTTTCATTTCTTTGCAATCATAGAATCTTGCCATCGCTGCTGCTGCTTACGATACTGAATGGTTTACATTTCCAATAGCGGTGCAGAAGCATATTCTCTTGATGATACTGCGAGCTCAGAAGCCGCCAGCGGTACGAATGAAGAACATACATACATATTTAATTTCTCTCTTATGCACATACATATCGACGATGCCTTTGCAAAACCGACCAGTTGCAGAACCACCTAAATTGCCGTTGTGGTAAAAATGAGGTTTGGTAACCCTTGGCGGTTTTGCAATTGCTCGATGGGCGGTTTTGCAAAGGCATCGATGATATGTATGTATGTATATTAGACTGCATCACCAAAAAATGTTGCGGTTTTTCCGCCAGAATTACAAAATTTATTATATTTTAAGACGTCCACCAAAATATTTCGGAAAAATTTTAAGATTTAAGTGAGCTGGACCGATTTGAAAATACCTCCAAAAATGGAGTTTTTTATGAATAAAAATAGTTTCTTAAAGAACTTTTTGAAAAAAGTCCCTTCAGATGACAAAACAGATTAAGTTTAAAAAATCTGCATAAAAATATTTAAAAATATTTTCAACGGAATCGTAAGAATAAGATTTTTGATGCGGTTTTTTAACTTTTTTCAGAGATTGATTTACGAAAAACTTGAATAACTGGGCCAAAATTATTCTAATTTTCACTTATGGGATCTCAGTAGAAAGGTATTTTCACACTGTTTTTATTTCTGTCCAAAACTAAGTAATTTCTGTCCCAATTTTTTTTTTTTTCAAACACCAAAACATCTTAATTCAACTTTGAATGACGTTCGTTCATCCTACTTTTCTCGTTCATCCTTTGGATGAGTTTATAAGCAAAGAACTAAAAAGGGTGAGAAAATACCTACCCAATGACACCTCTTAAGTCTAAAACGGAAGAGTTTAGGTGCAGTTATTAGTTTTTCTTATACCAATCTTTGAAAAAAGTTAAAAAAAACAGCATCAAAAATCTCAACATTATGATTCCGTTCCAATTTTTTATTAATTTTTTAAAAATATTTTTATGCAAATTTTTTAAGCTTAAGCCGTTTTGTCATTTGAGGGGATTTAAAAAAAAAATTTTTAAGAAACCATTTTTATTCATAAAAAACTCAATTTTTGGAGGTATTTTCAAATCGGTACAGCTCACTTAAATCTTAATATTTTGCAGAAATATTTTGGTGGACGTCTTAAAATATAATAGATTTTAAAATTCCAGTGGAAAAATAGTACCGATTTTTTTTTGTATGGGGAGTGATGCAGTCTAATGTATAACATTAGACCGTAGCGAAAAAAAGTTTGCCCCCTGAGTTCAAAGTATTTTCAGGGACGGTAATGATTATGCGCAACATAATTTAAATGATCATTTCGTCATTATTTTATGATTTTTATTTTTTCGCTTAAAAATAATAATTATTATTGCATTTTATTTTTTCACTTAACGGAAATAATTATTATTTGATTTTTATATTTTCGATCACAAGTAATAATTATTTTATGATTTTTATTATTTCGCTCAAAGATAATAATTATTATTTTGTTTTATTTTTCCACTAAAAAATAATGATTATTTATAAAATTTAAAAGGTCATACAGACCCAACCAACTAAAATTTTGACCTGAAAATTTTGTGACTTATTCCTTTTATTGGAGTATCTCTACCACATCGGAAATCACGCTGGTATAGCTTTAGCGTTTTTGGATAATCATTATTCTCAATTGAAAAAATAAAACTCAATAATAATTATGTATTACATATCTTTGAGCGAAAAAATAAAATTATATTATTTTTTATCGAAAAAATAAAAATCAAGTAATAATAATTTCCTTTGAGCAAAAAAATAAAACTCAAATATTGTTATCGTTATTTTTTACTGTTTAAACTCAAAAAATCAAAATCTTTGTAAATTACAATAGCACGTACGAATACATATATTAAAATTGTTTTACGATGATTACAAATCATTAAATTTTTGCTAAGAAAGGATTCCTATTAGGACAATGTTAAAAAAATGTTTATTGCCGAATGTAGGTGTCACGGAGAAATTTAAAAAGGCGACCCCAAGCTTCGGATTTTTTTTCGAATCGCCTCGTAAAAAATACTTTAGACTCAGGGGAGTAAGGTGAACTTTTTTTTGTTTGCTTGCAATGTGGTACGGCCATGTGCATACTCATGTACCTATTTCATTTTCTTGTGCTTTCCAGATAATGGTGGGACATATTCATCCTATTTCGTTGGAGCTATTTCAATCTCTACTCAATGCTTCTTATACTTACTTTACATTGTTGAAACGAGTTTACACTTAAGGTTTCCAAATATTCGTGTTAACTACGAATTATGCTACGTAGTTTTTTTTTATAGTAACTGAATGATAAGATAGCACAATGAGAATTCACTAGGCTTGCCCTATTTTTTTTTTATTTATGCACGCCTAAACTATATAAAATACTTTTACGATTTGGCTTTTAATTTAATTTTTATTTCGAATTCATCTTACCTTCAATAGATATTTTCATTTTCAACAACTTTTACTTTTTCAGATAAATAAAGGTATATATTGTATGAATACATTAATATTAATTATTTTCTCCCATGTTATAAACAAAGTTTAGTCAAAGTCTTAAATTTTTTTTATGTTTATTTAATATACTTAGGCATATGCTTCTTTTATATAATTGATTTTAATTAAAATCTACTTTGAAGTATTACATTTGGTTTTTAGCTTATTGCAAGGTGCTAAGTTACGTATACATAGACATATGTATGTAGGTTTGTATCAATAAATCTTCTGAAATATAATTATTTAATAATTAAACAGTATTTCGTTTCGTTCGTACAAACAGTATTGCAATTATTTTGCGTCATTTTGCGTAAAATCTAAAGCTAAAGTAAATGAGGCTAATTTTAGTTATTGAATATAAAATTAAAACATAAAAACACGTTGCACATAAAAATGCATTGCGACTGCTAAACAATGCATGAGTGTATTAAAATAATTAGATCAATGTGCAAGCTGGCATTGCGAAACTATTAATTTTTCACCGTTGAAAAAAATTTTTTTGGGTGCCTATGGACACCGCGATCCAAACATATATACCTGCATATGTATAAGGGAAATAGTAATAAAATGTATATTAGATAAATATTAATCTATAATTCATTTTAATGCAAAAAATGAGAAAAAGTGTGTATACGGGCTTTTCCAAAATTAGAAAAAAAAAATTAAAAATTAGGAATTTTGATAGATGGGTTCCAGAGAAATATTTCGCACTAATGTTGTCACTGTTGTAACAACATGCAAACTCCCCCAATTTGCGGAATGTTGCTGAAGTGACCGATAGTCGCGCAGTTAATCAATCAGCCCTATCACCAATTCCATGTGAATAAATCTTTCCCATAATTTTACATGGAAAACAAAAACAAATTAGGAAAAATTGTTTTTGTTTTATAATTATTTTTTGGGAATATTTGTTGACGTGAAATTCGCGATAGGGCCGAATGCTTTGCCGAATATGTGAATAAAAATTCAACTTGAGTTTCGGCTCAGTTTTCGGAAAACTGCTTAACTCAAGCAACAGCAACTTGCTAGTGCTTGTGGATGTGCTTGGTACGTTTTACCCAAGTCGGTCTCGTATCGTAAAACCGGTCCTCATGATTTATCCGAGTCAATTAATGCATTTCCAACAGAATGAATTATAAGCAACAGTCGGTTCTGCATAACCGGAACGACTAATATTAGCATATGTACTACATATATATCTGGCCAAGAACCGTCAATTCAGCAAAAAAATAAAATTAAAATAAACTTTTGGCGCTTAGTCTTTTGCCAAGAATTTGTCCCACCTTCTTCTCCAACTTGTCCGTCTTTATAACACAAAAAAAGGGACCTAAGTTTAACGCCGCCTCCGAACGACAAATGGTATTAATGGGAAGCCTTTTCAGGACAAAAATATGCTCGGAGGATTGTCAT